GTGGATGACTTGCAGCCTGAATGCTTTTTCCATGGCGAAGAACTTCAACTCAGAAACTGCCGGTGCATTCACGCAGGGCACAGGATTCATTGGGTCACTCGATGCAACCATCAGGCAAAGGCCATGCGTAGTTCCACAAGCCTTTGGAGCAACGAAAGACCATCAGTGTCTTCAGCACAGCATAGCCCATCCACCAGGACAGCAGCACTGCGGAGCCCAAAAGCAAGGTCACCGTGCGCAACAGGTAGCCCTTGAGTGACGATCGATTGATCTCCTCATAACCTTGCTCTTGAAACTTCCTGTCTTCGTCACTAGCCTTGTCATCGTTGAGCTCAGGCCACAGCACCACTGTGACGGCCCGCACGACCTTTACGGTTGAGATCAAGCGTTCCGCAAACATGAGACTGCTCAAGACGACGGAGGCCAGGGTCAGAATGTCGGCCCGACCGGTCAAGTATTTCTCGATGGCAAGCACGCTGCCGGTGATGTTGGTGAAAAGGGCCCCCTCGAAGCAAGCAGTCAAGAAGAGCCGCTGTGTGATGAGCCTCGCCCAGGTGACCAACGAAGCTCGGGTCCATGGGTCTGCTCCGCTCAGCTGTTGGACTTTGGCCAACTCCGTCACCTTGACCCGCTCTGTCTCTCGAGCCATGACTGCAGTGAGCCGGGCTGCAGGGCTCAAAGACATCACCAGCTCAGTGGCCCAAACCTCCTCCGACCATGATTGCAACGTGATGGCATAAGGGCTCTGCGGCAAGTCATCCTTGCTGTGCATCACGGGTGCCTTCATTGTAAGCCATTCAGAGAGACTCTTCACTCGAGGGTTGCTGTTTGTGAACAGCGGCAGCCCAGTGTACAAAGCATAGAGAAGCTGAACGACCATCAACCCATAGCTGATTGAGGCAACCGCACTGAGGCGGGGCAACCGTTCGTGGAAAACCGAGCGCTGGCTTACCAACGCCCAGGTCTCATCAACACGGTTCCCGTCGCAAGATGCCGTGTGTAGAATCTCTGCGTAGACAATGCCATTTGTGGCGAGGTCCATGTGGCTCACGGCGCTGACCACGAGCTGCACGCCGAAGTATGCAGAGAAGGGGACACGAACGCCAAGAAAGGTCCAGCCACCCAAGGAGCACACCTCCATGGGAATCTTGGCAGCCAGGACCTTGCACTCGAGCCAAAGGGACAGCAAGACGAAGGGGACGTAGATGATCAGCAGCTTAGCAGATATACGAGAGAAGCCGCCTTGCTCGTCACAAGTAGCAAAATTTGCGACGACCAGCGGGAAAGCAGCCCAGAAGAACCACACAACAAGCATAGCATAAAAGACGTAGCGCCACACGAACGCCAATACACGTGTGCTTGCTGCTCCGACTCTAACTAAAGCTGGCGCCTTCCATTCCATGACACATGAAATGACCTGCACGGCAGAATCATCGTACGCCCACGACGGCAGCTCACGGTCGTGCCACTGAATCGGGTCTGCAGGCTTGAAGCTGGTCAGGCTGTCGGATTCGGAATCATCATCGCTTGTGCTGCTGAGATGCAGGGTCGAGAGTGAAACACCCGTACTAACATTCATCTTGACACTAACCGCTGCGAGAATTCCCGGCCGTCGATGCACTTGAGGAGCCAAAGTGCGCCATTGTTCCACAAGATTCCACAAGGAGCATGCTGCGCACAGTCCATCACTGCATAAGTGACATCGAGTCTTTCACTCATTTGTAGGTCGCAGGCCTCATTTCCCTGGCTGATCCTCCACAACCTTGCCAGGATTCAGAAAGCCGCACACAACGAAAACCGGAACGGGCTTCAGGTCTCCCTCCTGCTCGGCGTCCTGGAATCCACCTTCCTTCTCTGATCGGATCTGAATGGATCAAAGGACATGTGACATGAAAGCTTGGCACGACCGGTCAGGCCTGATGATGGCGATGGCAAGCCGATCTTGTAAGTTACTCAACAGCAGTGCGGATTTCACGATGCTGGGCTGCAACGGCGGTTTGGGAAGTCTGCTGATGGGCCTTCACGGAGCTCAGCGGGTTGAAGTACTCGCACCTGCAACACGGCTGTCGCATCCCCGTCGTTCATCATTGCCGCACCCAAGATTGCCCTATGCCCTGAACTCCGACCGACCGAGCACAAGGAAACACGGATGTGATCTGAGAAAGGGCACTTTGCACTGATCCGCCGTGGCCCCGGCTCTCCTACACCTCACGGACCCGCGAATGATTAAAGCCCTGGACGTGGATTGCTTTGCAGGACAAAGCTAACCTCACATAGGATGTCGATGTCCAGTGATTGGATTCAAAACAAGAAACCGGCAGTCTAGAGAATCCAGCTTTTCAGTTCGCCTCGCGTCAGCCCACTATCGAGCAGAACAGAGACCCCCAACTCCCCAACTCCCTCTCCAGCCTCGCAAACACACAGGCCCTGGCAACTGGATTTCAGAGGCAGACATGCAGCAAAACATGCCGAACCGCACGAACCGTCTCAGAACCACAGATGCCATCACGGACCAGCAGTCCGTGAGCGTTGCGCTTCCGAAGGACAAAGGGAGGGGGGCCGTGACTCCTCTTTCCTGGTTCGTGCGCAGGTGGGAGGGGTGGTGACCGGCAGAAGCCCGCCCCGCGCAGAACTATCTGTTGTCTGCTTGTTTTTAGGCACGGGGCGCCCTTCTGGGCCTGATACGTTCCTTCCAGCCCCCGCTTCGGCGAGAGATAGGTTGTTGCAGCTACAGCTAAATAATGGCACGAAGACACCCGACAAAGCAAGTAGATTCCACAGCACTGGCACTCTGCAATAGGAGACAGCTGCGCATCGACATCTTGAAGTACGACTACCACTGACGCCACTCCAACTCCAGGCCTGTTCGGAGCAAAGGTTCCATAAAGAGCGTATCCTCGCTGGTCCTGTTCGCCGTTCGCAACTGCAAGGACCCTCAGACGCGACTCGAGACCAGACTCAGTGGATGACTTGCAGCCTGAATGCTTTTTCCATGGCGAAGAACTTCAACTCAGAAACTGCCGGTGCATTCACGCAGGGCACAGGATTCATTGGGTCACTCGATGCAACCATCAGGCAAAGGCCATGCGTAGTTCCACAAGCCTTTGGAGCAACGAAAGACCATCAGTGTCTTCAGCACAGCATAGCCCATCCACCAGGACAGCAGCACTGCGGAGCCCAAAAGCAAGGTCACCGTGCGCAACAGGTAGCCCTTGAGTGACGATCGATTGATCTCCTCATAACCTTGCTCTTGAAACTTCCTGTCTTCGTCACTAGCCTTGTCATCGTTGAGCTCAGGCCACAGCACCACTGTGACGGCCCGCACGACCTTTACGGTTGAGATCAAGCGTTCCGCAAACATGAGACTGCTCAAGACGACGGAGGCCCAGGGTCAGAATGTCGGCCCGACCGGTCAAGTATTTCTCGATGGCAAGCACGCTGCCGGTGATGTTGGTGAAAAGGGCCCCCTCGAAGCAAGCAGTCAAGAAGAGCCGCTGTGTGATGAGCCTCGCCCAGGTGACCAACGAAGCTCGGGTCCATGGGTCTGCTCCGCTCAGCTGTTGGACTTTGGCCAACTCCGTCACCTTGACCCGCTCTGTCTCTCGAGCCATGACTGCAGTGAGCCGGGCTGCAGGGCTCAAAGACATCACCAGCTCAGTGGCCCAAACCTCCTCCGACCATGATTGCAACGTGATGGCATAAGGGCTCTGCGGCAAGTCATCCTTGCTGTGCATCACGGGTGCCTTCATTGTAAGCCATTCAGAGAGACTCTTCACTCGAGGGTTGCTGTTTGTGAACAGCGGCAGCCCAGTGTACAAAGCATAGAGAAGCTGAACGACCATCAACCCATAGCTGATTGAGGCAACCGCACTGAGGCGGGGCAACCGTTCGTGGAAAACCGAGCGCTGGCTTACCAACGCCCAGGTCTCATCAACACGGTTCCCGTCGCAAGATGCCGTGTGTAGAATCTCTGCGTAGACAATGCCATTTGTGGCGAGGTCCATGTGGCTCACGGCGCTGACCACGAGCTGCACGCCGAAGTATGCAGAGAAGGGGACACGAACGCCAAGAAAGGTCCAGCCACCCAAGGAGCACACCTCCATGGGAATCTTGGCAGCCAGGACCTTGCACTCGAGCCAAAGGGACAGCAAGACGAAGGGGACGTAGATGATCAGCAGCTTAGCAGATATACGAGAGAAGCCGCCTTGCTCGTCACAAGTAGCAAAATTTGCGACGACCAGCGGGAAAGCAGCCCAGAAGAACCACACAACAAGCATAGCATAAAAGACGTAGCGCCACACGAACGCCAATACACGTGTGCTTGCTGCTCCGACTCTAACTAAAGCTGGCGCCTTCCATTCCATGACACATGAAATGACCTGCACGGCAGAATCATCGTACGCCCACGACGGCAGCTCACGGTCGTGCCACTGAATCGGGTCTGCAGGCTTGAAGCTGGTCAGGCTGTCGGATTCGGAATCATCATCGCTTGTGCTGCTGAGATGCAGGGTCGAGAGTGAAACACCCGTACTAACATTCATCTTGACACTAACCGCTGCGAGAATTCCCGGCCGTCGATGCACTTGAGGAGCCAAAGTGCGCCATTGTTCCACAAGATTCCACAAGGAGCATGCTGCGCACAGTCCATCACTGCATAAGTGACATCGAGTCTTTCACTCATTTGTAGGTCGCAGGCCTCATTTCCCTGGCTGATCCTCCACAACCTTGCCAGGATTCAGAAAGCCGCACACAACGAAAACCGGAACGGGCTTCAGGTCTCCCTCCTGCTCGGCGTCCTGGAATCCACCTTCCTTCTCTGATCGGATCTGAATGGATCAAAGGACATGTGACATGAAAGCTTGGCACGACCGGTCAGGCCTGATGATGGCGATGGCAAGCCGATCTTGTAAGTTACTCAACAGCAGTGCGGATTTCACGATGCTGGGCTGCAACGGCGGTTTGGGAAGTCTGCTGATGGGCCTTCACGGAGCTCAGCGGGTTGAAGTACTCGCACCTGCAACACGGCTGTCGCATCCCCGTCGTTCATCATTGCCGCACCCAAGATTGCCCTATGCCCTGAACTCCGACCGACCGAGCACAAGGAAACACGGATGTGATCTGAGAAAGGGCACTTTGCACTGATCCGCCGTGGCCCCGGCTCTCCTACACCTCACGGACCCGCGAATGATTAAAGCCCTGGACGTGGATTGCTTTGCAGGACAAAGCTAACCTCACATAGGATGTCGATGTCCAGTGATTGGATTCAAAACAAGAAACCGGCAGTCTAGAGAATCCAGCTTTTCAGTTCGCCTCGCGTCAGCCCACTATCGAGCAGAACAGAGACCCCCAACTCCCCAACTCCCTCTCCAGCCTCGCAAACACACAGGCCCTGGCAACTGGATTTCAGAGGCAGACATGCAGCAAAACATGCCGAACCGCACGAACCGTCTCAGAACCACAGATGCCATCACGGACCAGCAGTCCGTGAGCGTTGCGCTTCCGAAGGGTAAATCTGTACTTTAGCATACATCCACCAATCTACTCGCAAGCCCAGTGGTGCTACATCAAGTACGCTCAACCACGGCAGCTCAGAAATTTAACTAACATTACGGCAACTGGCCTGCCAACCATTCTGCTAATGTCCTGCCACAGGCATAACAAAGCTGCAAGGTACGTGCAACAGCAGCGACTCAATGAGGTTTAGGCGAAATTTATCGACAGGATTCCAAGCCAAAGCCAGCAACCGGCAATGCGAAATTATCGAAGCAGGTCCATGCAGGTCCTTCAAGTGCTAAAACGCAATCTAAGCAAAGTTTGAGCCGGAACGTCTCAGGATGGCTCGGGCAAAAATCGATGCCATCGTCTTCGTCACGAACATGACCTCAAAAGCCTACTCAGAAAGCACTCACAGTGAAGCTCACATCATCCTGGACCATTCGCCCTGCCGGAATAAACGCCATAGAACCAAAAAAAGCGAGAACGCCACACCTCTTGCGACTCCATCAGCTTTGCCTTCCGATCCCACGGAATCGAAAGCGGCATTCAATCGCCTTCAAACAGACAACTTTGTTGCCTGCCCCACCGTTCCTAGCAGGTGCGCAGCCCCTAGCGCTGCCTCGCAAATCGGAGCAGGAAGCGCTGGGCGGCACTCACAGACTCGCTACTAAGCTGCGCTCGAGGAACCGAGTGTTTCTGGCTGTGCTCAACCGCCACCTGGGACTTGGAAAGCAGATTACACGGCGCTTGCATTAGGTAATACAAACAACTGCGACTGTTGAAAATTGAACACAAGAGCCCGATCGGCGTAGAGATCCATGGTCTGGGCAACACGGCTGCAGGGGTACCATTTGTCCGTACGGTCGTACAGGAAAAGGCAGGGCATCTTGATCCTGAGCTGAGCCACAGCTCACAAAGAATTCATGGCTAGATTCGCCTGTTGACAGTGAAAGAATGCTCGCGACTGAGTCAGCGTCTCCCCAGCCTTTGGGCCCAGGTAGGGTCCCAGAAGGTTTCGTGGCGGGCCTCCGCCACTCACAGCTTCAAAATGACCAGGGTTCACAGCGCCACTGAAGCTCACCTCGGATTCGTAACGGGCATAAGCCAGCCCGGCATTAGCGTTAGACTCGTTTGGACATAATAGCAGAACCGTGAAGCCAGATCAACCATCAAGCTGCCACGAAATGGGGGCTGGAAAGGCTGCAAAAGCGAGGATCGCCCTGATGCTGCAGCAGCACCACAGCGTGAACCATCTCTGCACCCTGCGAAAATCCTCTGGGCTGCGACACTCAAGGATATAACACAAGAAAGAGGAGTGCTTTCATGACACATAATGTTTTAGACTGGCCTACGACGCCATCATATGGCAGCTCGTTGTGTTCTGCTGCCTCCAGCTCCACCGCCAGCTTTGTAATTGCAACCTCAGTGGGCCAACGCTCACAAAAGCGATGATATGTGGTGCAAAAACACACCCGGCCTCCATGTCTGCCCAATCCTCTGGCCTCTCTCCGCACTGCTCGTCATACCGGAACCATTTGTAGCCGTTGTAGCGCGATGGCTCATGTATGTGTGCCGCCACACAACGACATTCTACTGTCACTCGCTTGTCTGTGCCGACCTTGGCCAACTGGTCAAAAAATGTCTGCAGGCCTTCGCAAAGTCGTTCTGGGGTCTCATCATGACCATGCAAACAAAGGAGTCGCAATCTCTGCCCCTGCCGCGGGGCCTCGTCACTTCTGTCCACAAGCACGTGAACTTCCCACAACGCAGACCGGCTAACTGAGTGGAAAGCTGGATGGCTGTCAGGACTGATCGCCGAATCCATGTTGTGTAATGCGTAACTGAAGTGGGCCGTCAATGCTGTAAACCACTGATTTCAAAAGCTCTTAGACCTAGACGGATCGGACGTCTAGCGACCACCTTTTAGCCTGTCGCGAAAGTTGATGCGTGCATGTCACCAAGGGTCTTAATAACACCGAACCTGAGCCCATTCGGACGACTCAGTGCATTCTTCCTCTGTTCTTTAGGTTTGGCGTTCAACCGCACAAAAAGTCAAAGCGAGGACACTCGTTTTTCTCGCAGAGCTTGCTGAGGTGCGGCGCAGGAAACGAGGCAGAGCTACTGTGTAGGCAAAGCGTTACCGAGCCTGCTTTTCTTTCAAAAACTGTTCAAGTCTTTCGTGTCAGCTTGAACGTTTTGAATGCGGCTATATGCGGCTTGAAATCGGCCACCTGGCGATATTTCCGGATCAAACAGGGGACCTCGGACCCTGTTCCGAAATTCCGAGCCCTCCGTAAGAATCTGGTTTGCGAAGCAACTGCTTAGCAAGAACCTGTTGCACAAACCGACTTGGGTCCGAATTGTGCAACAGATGGTTGGCAGAATGTGGCTTGCACCTAAAACGAGACCCAAATCTTGGAACAAACCAGCGGCCAGATTTCGCTGAAGTAAGCGCAATTCTTGGACACCTTCAAAAGCTACAACTGTCCAGTAAAATCGTTTCGATCCTCGCCCTCGCCTTAGCCCCGCCCTCACCCTCGTCCGTTCAACCTGCAATCAATATGCAACCACTCCGACGATGCACACGCTCAGCGGACAAATCGCTCTGTTTCTCACCATGAAATGGCAAGAACGCGCCCAAGTTGGCCAGTTTGAAACGTGCTGACCAAAAGAAATGGTAGAAGAACACGGGACACACTGTGGGACAACAAATTTGTTTCTTCCGAAGTCCCTTCTCGCCCTAAGATATAAGGGCATCCTTACATGTATTCTTACAAAAATCGAGAATATGTGCATCAATTGGACATACAGTCACGAATTGGGCGGGCGGGACAAGAATTGAGCCTTTGCTCAGCTTAGGGCTTCCCACCTCCCACCCTGGAACCAAAAGGCTTCAGACACGCACCTCAAGGCAGCGCCCACCCCGGCCGTCATCCAACTGCTCACAGCGGCTCCGATTGAATAGAGGAATGCCATGCCGCCATGCCAGGCTTTTTTTCGTAACTATGGGCAATCCAACCACTGTGGCTCTGCGGAGTGAAACGTGAAAACGCCTCGAAGCCTCTAAGCGAAGCCTCGAAGCGCTGAAGTTGCGGTTGCATTGCCCTGCTCCGGGGCACGCCGTCGGTGTGTGTGGCACGGCACGACGTGGCACGACGTGGCACGACGTGGCACGCCGTGGCACGTGCTCGTCTCCTCAGCTCCAGCCCTGGTGCCAAGGAGCTGCCGCGCCCTGCAGCGCACCCTGCTCGCCTCTCCTCCCTCTCCTCCCTCTCTCTGAGCCACAGGGCGCAAGGGTGCAAGAGGCCGTGCATGTTGAATGCAAGCTGCGGGCGCTGGACTGGTGCATTAACTCTGAAAATCTTGCGAACCAAGCAAGGCTCGTCGGATGAGTCTGAAGCAGCGTGAGCAAGGTGCCATCTGACACAGACAGCACCTTCGTCAAGTCTCACAGGGCCTTGTCCTCCCTGGTGGTCTCGTCCTGGAGACTAGGCGGCGACTAGAGACCTCGCAGGAGCACTGAGGCACTCAGCGGATGCCCGCGAAGTTGCTGCAATGCCAGGGGCAGACGGGACAGTTCTAGAGAGGCTTGCACTGCTCTACCACTGGCTGCCATCTTTTATACCGTAGAGGCTTCGCGGCTAGCCCGGAGGTACCAAGGCATAGAGGGCTAGCCAAGGCATAAACTCCCCCGTTAGACTAGTCTTTGTGAGAAGTAAGTGAGACTTCTTGAAAGGCCAATACGTAGGCTTGGGGGGAGCCGAGGCAGGCTAGCGGCTAAAAATGCCAGTGGCGGAGCCAAAGTAGGCTTTGGCACGAAGCAGGTGAGGCAGGGCGAACCGATTTACCTGAGGCAGGTAATACGGGCTCCGTGAGACGTAGTCAGTGAGAAGATGGAAGGCTTATTTCCAAGTCCACAAACGCATAAACAAATTCTTCGTTATTTGGGAAGTCGAGCAATATAGGTACGTATGAAACAAAAACTTGCACACATGTGCTTGAAAGGAGCGTGCGCGGAAGACATATTGTTAAACAAACATGTAACAAGCAGGTTCATGAAAGATTCAAAGTTGAAACGGTTTCCCAAATACACGTTCGAAGAGTTCATGCTCAATCGTTTCTCAACGAGACAACGATCGTCGTGAAAATGGAAATAAAGTGAAAATCACAAGTGATGTGGTCACTTATTTCCAAGTCCACAAACGCATAAACAAATTCTTCGTTATTTGGGAAGTCGAGCAATATAGCATTCACTCGGACCCCTCCTTCTTTTTATCGGATAAGCTCGAAGTGCCGTGGGGAATTTCGAATGCCAAAAGGTAACGATGTCTGTCCCAAGGTCAAGCTTCCAAAGCTCGGCCAAGGGCCACGACTCCTTCAACGCACAGTTTAAGTGCACCCGAACTTCCCCCATTGATGTGCACTTCAGCTCGTCTCCAAAGGCATGCTAAAGCAATCGGTCCAAGCTCGTATCGTCCTGCCGTGCACCCTGTCTAATCAAGTGGTCCACAATCTGACGACTAGGCGCATCTGCCGGGTTCGAGTGGGTCAAACCACGGCCTAGTCAGGTTGTCATGTTCCAGCGATAAGACTTGTTGTAGAAGTCGCCGTCCGTTCTTTGTTCCAGAGCGGCCAGCAATCAACGCGGATTGCGCAGCTTCGTTGTCTAAGTAGAAGGTGCTAAAGGTGTCCTTCCAAAAAGCCACAAGAACCGCGTAAAGTTCGACTTCATATATGGGATGCTCAGATTCGGTTTCCAGAACATCCAAGTCCGCTTTAGGGACCTCAGAGCTGAAGAAGGCAAGCGGAGAGCCAGAAGCATCGTAGATGACCCCCCCTATGCGGGTTCGTAGGATCCATCTGTGAATACGAAGAGCTCCTTTCCTGAAGTTTGCCTCAATTCCAAGGGCCTCGAAGTGGTAACGTGTTCCCGCAGGGTCCGAAGCGCCCATTCAAGATCAGCGCCGAGCTCCGACGTGCCGTCAATCCCTCTGGCCCTCAAAGACAGTTGATGCATAGCTTCGCAAGGTGCCCTCCCGAAGAGATAAGAAGAATACCAATGCATGCGTCCCCGGAGAACCTCGGCTTCCTTGGAGCTGAGTTTGCCCATCAGCAAGATGTTCTCAAGGACGTCCTTCAGCTCGGTCCTTCTCTCGGCCGTGTGAGTAATCGAAATGATCCCATTCTGGAATTCAGTCAAGTCAAAGGCCAAGCCCAAGGCATTGAAAACAGCATCAACTTTAGTCGCTTTCTTTCCTTCCTTGGCGTACTGGACCCCCAGAGCCTCAAAGACCTCATCGGCGAGCTCGTCAATTTGATCCTCCATTCCATCGCACGATAGCAAAGGAAAATCATCGAAGTAAGCACACCATCCCAGTCCCATGTCCCGGGTGCTCGTATGCCAGATTGCAGCAGAGACCCGGAGGAATCCCGCCACACTTCCTGTGGCCCCGAACGGCAGGACGTTCGTTCCATAAACGCGTGGTGTCTTGTTGTCTGTGTCAAACACGCCAATTCTCAAGTGTTGCCGATCAAGAGGGTGCACCGGATAAAACTTGTAAGCGGAAACAAGGTCTATCGTCTTTCCAACCAATCGGCGTAGCTTGTCCTTCGGCACGTTCAACAGCTCAAGGAAAACTGCTGCAAGAACGTCAACCCCGTGCAGGGTAAATTTCTCTGGCAGACCACAAGCCATATTCAGACCACAGTCCTTTCCGTTGTCAATGACTCGAACTTTGTTTTTCTGCTCCAGTCCAAACCTGTGAGCCAGAACGATATTGTTGAAATCCGGGTCAGTGTCCTCGAAGATCCATCCTTTGCGCTCCTCCTCCATAGTTTCGGCCCACGCCTTTTCGGCCGTCTCATCAAGCTTGGTACTCGCTATGCGTCTCATGGTCATCGGAGATCGGTAGGACGATTGGGCCAGCAAATTTTCCAAGGAAGATTCAGGGGCCTTGACGCGGGGCTTGAAGACCCCCGTCTCCCTCATCCATCCGGTCAAGCGGAAACCATCACGCAAGTCTGCCCAGAGCAGCTTGTCGGGAAACTCATTTCGCTCGAGGATTCGTTTCCATGCCAGAACGTTCTTCCCCTCCAATGCCTTCGCCAAGTACGTGGGCTTTTGCTCCATGAGAGCAGCATTCATGGCTGCCGACTCCTCCGAAATTTTCTTCCAAGCACTCCTGGATTTTTCGGCCCGTCTTCGGCGTTCATCCGCCGGCATAACCACGTTGGCCGCGATCCCTTTTGCAGGGCCATGACGATTGACGAGTATCGCATTGCGAGGGTGTCCAGCAAGAACGGCTGCCTTAACGAAGTCCTCGGGCTCGCGCGGAATGCCAATGGTAAGAATGTCTGCTTGGGTGGCGCAGGGGTTATCGTCACACACCATTCCGACCACCTCGTACACTTCACTCTTGTCTTCCCCAGCAATGGAAGAGAAATCTGCAAGGTCATTATCTGCGATCCTTGCCTCAACACCTAGCAGCTCGGAGGACTTCTTTCTGTCGAAGCCAGCATAAGCCGAGACAGCGCAAACCCGCACCGCTCCCCATGGCACCAGTTTGCGTTGTGTAACACGGGCTCCTTTGGAGTAGCACTGCAAGATAGGGTCGGCAGCGCGCTCTGACCGTACTGGTACAGCCCAATGGTCATAAGCGCTGTAGCAGGAGACCAGAGGTCGCGCATGTTTTGGTTGCCTTTGCAGTGCCACTTGTTCGCAGGTACGTGGTTGTTGAGCAGAGGCAGCCTACGAAGGATAACCGTCCGCCAGTGTGTAAAGCATGCGTTCACAAAGCAGCCAAGGGTAGGCGGCCTCCTGACGGG